TAATGTCCCGATTTTCTACAAATATAGTAAAGACCCTTGAATTTGTTTTCGAACTTCCCTTGATCCTTTTTGGGACCAAGAAGTTTCTCTTTCTTCTTGTATTTGCTGGAGTTATCAACGTTGTCCACGGCATTGGCTTTCGAAGAGCCATCATAAGAACTTTCAGTCTTATCTCTTGTCCTTGATTATTTCTTTATGCGAAGATGTTTTGAATTTGTTCCAAAGAAAAAGTCTTCAAAATTGTGAAAAATCTTCTTCCTATATCATTTCCAAGATCCCGGGAGTTTAGCAATAATTACTCCCACTTGAAAAGTTTGGGGAAGTTCGATTTTCACCGTTTTCACTTTGTTGACAATGACTTGTAATTCATGTACTTGAGCCAACAAATGAATATTATTCAAAAACTTGAAATCAAAATATTTAGAAATTAAAAATTTCTTCGTACCTTTCTCCTCGGCCTTACATTTACTTTCAAGTGCATACCCAATTTCTTTTACCGAAGTGGTGTTGGTGTAGAGATCATATAATCAATCCAATAGCGCATTTAGAATGTGGCCATGTAATATTAATTCATCATCTTCCCATTTCTTTCTTTTTGCACGAACTTCATCACTATCTTCTTCGGTTGTATTGGGAATATGCTCCAATTTTGGATCAAGCAAGTAGAAGATCTTCAATGCTGTAAGGAGGAATTTGAGTTTGTTTTGCCATCTAGTGAAATTTGCACCATCAAATCTGTACAAACGTACTAAGTCTTGATTCATCATCTTGATTATAGCAAGTATAGATTCCGTCTCCATCGCAATAAAATGAGAAGTATCGTTTGAGAATGTTTTCAAAAAGAATAAGATACAGCGAATAAGACAAAAAAAATAACGAAGAAGATGGATATTTATAAGGATGAAGACTTGAACACGAAAAATGCATCGTTGTCTTCAAACGATATTTGCCTCGTCCATGAAGCTTCTAAGGATTGAAATTGGCAAATTGTTTGTAGGATTAATCAAGCCTAATTAAAGAACACCAAAAGCAAAGTGTTTCTTCAAGGTGAACAAGATAAAAAATGGAAATTTGATTATGTAAAGTGACAAATAGATTTTTTCTTCATTTTTTCAATTCATCAAATCACGATTTTGAACAACAAGATTCCAACAACCTCCACCACCTAAATTATCGCATTTCCCTCCCAGCACACTCCACCCTGTAGCACATCATTCACCACCACTGCACCACCTCTTCTCTTTCTTTCTTCACCATTTTCTCATTGTACCTCCATCCAGTGTTCTAAAATGCGTAATGCGTTGCGAAGCGTTGAGGCCGAGAATCAAGAATTACAAGTTTAGACATGTCAATGTGAAGAATAAGCGCCATAATGCGTTTCGTATTTTTAATATTATTTTAATTATTTTTAAGATATTAAATATATTTTTATATAAAAAAAAGATTTTTTACTATATCATTAAAAAAAAGGTTAATTTCAAATTTTTCTAGCGTCGAGGCCGAGAATCAAGAATCACAAGTTTAGGCGTGTCAATGCGAAGAATAAGCGCCATAATGCGTTTCGTATTTTTAAGGTATTAAATATATTTTTATATAAAAAAATAGATTTTTTAATATATCATAAAAAAAATAAATTAAAAAAAAAGGGATTAGGAGGGATAATGCGCCCCTAGGCACGCCTTTTAGATGGAAAATGCATTTTTCCCGCATTTCCCGAATTTGACGCAGTTTGGACGCCTAGTTGCCAATTTTCTTCAAAGGCAGGAAACTCATTTCAAAATATATCTTCTTATCAGTCTTTTCCACATGTTCTTTGTGGTTTAATGTGTGGCTTTCCACAGATGATGCCAATTTGTTGACCTTGTTTTTTGTAAGGATGACATGGATAACAGATATCTGGCCCACTCATATCCATGGAAGCAAATTCTAACATGTTTTGACCGGAGATTTGGACGGAGAAGGTTACTATATACGGACGTGGGATATGCTCCATAACTCGAGACAAAAATGCTTGGACACCGACGATATATTTAAAGATGATTATATATTAATAAGCAATCACATATAACTCAACCAAAGCAAGTTAATCTAAACTCAAGCAAGCAAGAGTGTGAAATAAGAAAGAGCGAAGATCGAGAGTTGCTTCTAGTGTAAAGAGTTGCATTATATTCAATTGTTACAAGAGTTACTATTTATAGAGTTCTGATCGAAATGATAATCGTTAGATAAGAATCACATGACCTCATCTCCCAGGTCGAAGCCTCACATCACTGGCCTGCTACGTATTTAATACATTAACAATGGAGTCAGCGGCCCCACATTTTAGACTCACAATCCTAACATTCATTATTACAAATGTCATATCAATCATTCCTAAAAATTGCCTGCAAAATTTCTGAGAGCCTGTGAGGGCTTAGGCCAAAGGGAGCTTCAGAGTGGAGGTCTTTGGCATGGAGAGCTTCGGGACAGGGAGCTTCGATTCTTTCTTCGACTTTTTTACTTCTTTCCGTTGAAGTCTTCATCGACTTTGACTCATATTTCCATGTGGACTACCATGTGATCTTAATATTGGAGTTTCAGTAACAAGCGGATCAATAGTCTCTCAAATTTATGCGTGATTATTCTAGGGATGGCAAAAAAGTCCGACAAACTCGATACTCGCGGGACCCCTTCCCGTTCACTACCCGCTTAATTGGGTATTCGCGTCAGAGGCGGGTCGGGTAACTTTACCTCGGGGCGGGGACGAGTAATGGGTGCCCCCGCCCCTCATAATTTTTTTTTTTAGAATTCAATACTTTAAATGAAAAATTTCACGAAATTTCATTAGTTCTAATAGAAAATGACAACTAAAATTATGTAAAAAAATATGATAAACAATGAAAACTTTAGTTTACCAAATATATTTGAATAATTTAACTTTTAAAAATAAGTAAAGATTAAAAAATATATTATTGTCACAGTCTAATGAATGGAAGCAATAAAATGAATTTTTAAAAACTTAAAAAAAAAAAAATTAAACAGGGTAGTAAATGGGGCAAGGCCCCGCTTCGCTTTAACAAGACGGGGGCAGGGCGGGGGAGGTTGCCCTGATCCCGTCCCTCCTCGTTGCCATCCCTGGATTATTCATATGATGCGTGAATTTTTGTTATCAAAATTTTTGTTGGAGTTGTTATTTTTAAAACAATAGAATCCAATACACTTGTAGGTGTACTAGTGTTACAACTCTTTGAATGAATAGTTGTCACAATTAAGACAAATTGCGTACCTAATTAATTAGTAGAGTAATTGACTTTTCGAAACACAGTGCCAACCTCTATAAGTTGTTATTGACATATCTTTCTTGATCTCTATACTTCTCTATGCAAGTCCATAACTCATTTATCACAAAGCGATCAATACTTTAATTGCTTATTCAATTAAATCAAAATGAATAAACAATATTTATTTAATACACAAAACCAAAAGGTCATAAATTATAGTTACGTCGTAACATTACCGGGTAACATTTACAACAGAGAATGATTTTATCAAATGTTACATTTTGCATTTTGATGTAAAAGTGTTGTTATTTACAACTCCATTTTCGTTTAACTTATTTTGTTAATAAACTTAAATAAAGAGATATAAATATAAAAATTTACATGTAAATTGGCTTTGCCTACACCATCTGGCCACAGGCCACAACGAGCATGATATTTTTGAATTGTATGTCTTAATCACATAGGAATGTTAATTGGATCGAAACGAGGATGAACCTACTCGTTTTAAGAAATTCGATCTCTGTTCACACCCAACCAACTCACCTTTTGGTGGGGTGAGTCTCTTGTAGCTTGTCAATTGTTTATTGAAAATTATATTTTCTAATTTCACTAATTATGAGTCGACTCGAAAGTCGATGAGCAGCTCGAGCTCGAGAGAAGCTACGTTAGCTCGACTCATTTGTGGGGCAAGTAGTTTGCCCGCTTAACATCCATGCAGTGACATGTTGATAAGTTCAATGCAAAAGATGATAACTCAATTTGCACCACTAATTAGACAAGTTAAAAATGCAAAAGTTAGAAACGTTTAAATAAAATTGTTATAAAACAGCGCCAAACAAGGAAATCAAGCGAAAATTTTAAGAACACAATTTTTGGAATCCACCAAATCATGAATAAATAAACTCATGAAATTTTATTAATGTAATAGATAAAAAATGATGAATTAACATTTTATTTACAAGGGTTTACAAGAAAACTTATTTAAACAAAAAAAAAAAAAAAAAAAACTCATGTTTGGTAGAAATTAAAATTTAGATTTTAATCAATATCAAAATCAATAATTAATTTTAATCACAATTTATGGACATACAACTTTTCAGTAACACATTTCTTCAATTTTTATCAATATCTACTAAAAATTTGATTTTAATCTCCACCAAATAAAAGTTAAAATTGAAAAGAATTCGAAATAAACTAAATGACATAAATAACACTAAAATTTAAAAGCAATTTTCGACTTCTAAACAAACTCTGGTGACTAAAATCCATCGCATTGTGGGCTCAAATAGGTGTTCGGACGCTACCCCTGCACTATTACATTTCTTCCTTTTTGTTCCAATTTTTTTTTTCAATCCATTCAGCAATCCGAGCTACATGAACTAAGTAGAGAGTTTGCTACTAGTTGTGCTGGAAGAGAAAAATGAAGAATTATATTTTTTGGTGATTCCAAAAACTACACGTGGTTGTATCCCGTTGGATGTCTAATTAAGTTTCTTTAAAAAAACATTATTTTAGAATTTTACAGAATGCACTAGTCTTTTCTAGAGTATACATTTTGTATATTATTAATAATTCTTTTGGGGTCGAAAATGCTGACGGACAATTCCAAGGGGCCGAGAATCGACGTGATAGTGCTAGAATCATCATCTTGATTCTATATAAATCATGCTCACTCTATACTGTATCCATAACAGAAATTGAAAGTATCGATTCAGCCATAACAAGAAATCCATCCGAAAAATGTCTCTGATTCCGAGCTTCTTTGGCAACCGACGCAGCAACGTTTTCGACCCATTTTCTCTTGACATTTGGGACCCTTCTGAGGGCTTCCCTTTCTCAAGCTCAGTAGTCAATGTCCCAAGTTCTGCCCGCGAAACTTCTGCATTTGCCAATGCTCGCATAGACTGGAAAGAGACTCCAGAGGCCCATGTATTCGAGGCCGATCTTCCGGGGCTGAAGAAGGAAGAGGTTAAGGTGGAGGTTGAAGAAGGGAGAGTGCTTCAAATAAGTGGAGAGAGGAGCAAAGAGCAAGAGGAAAAGAATGACAAGTGGCATCGCGTGGAGAGGAGCAGCGGCAAATTTCTTCGCCGGTTCAGGCTGCCAGAAAATGCAAAGACGGATCAGGTGAAGGCTAGCATGGAGAGTGGTGTGCTCACAGTAACTGTGCCTAAAGAGGAAATAAAGAAGCCTGAGGTCAAGTCAATTGAGATCTCTGGTTAATTACCCCTTTTGCCATTTGATTGTACTGGTGAATTTAAGATGTCTGTCTGTGGTTTGATAATGTGAAAGGAACAATGTTCTATGTTCTATGTTTGAAAATAAAATGTCGTATTTGAGTTTGAGTGTGAGGTCCAAACATTGTAAAATTCTTAAATAAAACAACTAAATTTCTGTTATTGTTGTTCATCTGTAAGTGTTTTTAGTCTTTAGGTTACCTGTCTTTCTATTTCCAACTGATCAATTCATGCTCAAAGCTGATAAATGTTTTATATATTTCTTTTAAATAGCTTTCCAGGTCATATTTTAATGACTTTTAGCTAACATTATGTGACTAATCAGAGAATAAGCTTTAGGTGATTATAGGCTTAATATTTGAGTGGGCAATTTTGTATCAGATCGAGTAAGCTATCATTCTACTAAACTCATCTCATACAAATCTAAGTTTATTTAGCAATCAAAGACTATTCGATCGACCGTAGAGTAACTTACAAGGCTGTCTTTCAAAGTTCAAACTAGGTATGATTGATTGCACTTAAATTCCATTTTCCACTTTTTGTAAAAGCTTTTCTCACCAACACCATTTTTTTATATCTCCAATTATAGCAAATTTTATCTTTTTAATGGATAACTTTCATGCAACATCATAGTAATATGATCTTTGAAGTAATATTATCTTTCAATTTACTTGCCTTATTAATTCCTCTCCATTTTCTAATAAAGAACATAACGGAGGTTATTTATGACAATAGTCATTAGCTCATATATTACAACAATTGAAATGTGTCAAATAATGAGTTAAATATTTGAATACACACATGTTATGAAATAAATTATTGAATTGAGATGTTGAAGTTATATGACAAATAATAACGAAGTATATGATTAAGTTAAGAATAATAAAGACAAGAATATGACAGAAGTACTAAGAGATTTTATTGACTTTAAAATAATGGAGATGAAAGGAAAATTACAATAGATCTTATAATTCTAGTAATATATTTTCTCACTTATAAAATTGTATAGAATAACCTAATATTTATCGGTACCATGTAGGGGACGTCCAAACTCTCTTACTAGAGTTGTTGATGAATTAGGATATGAAAAAATCGAGTCCAAAACGAAATAGAAGAGAAAACAGCGAAATCCCCGAATAGCACATGCGGTGCCGACGCTGGGCAATTTGCCCAAATTTATTATTATTATTATTATTATTATTATTATTATTATTATTATTGTTGTTGTTGTTCAAATTATTTTCTCCATCTTAAACTCTTTTTCAAATCCAATATCAATTTTCAACTCCCAATGGACTTCCAAAGTAGAAATTTAACTTGATATATGACTCCAATAACATTTCACACTGAATTTTCATGGACGTGCACTTCAATTAGAATTATTCAATACTTCAAATAAGGAATTCGGATCATACCCAAATTCTGACAACATAGAACTTTGGTCGTAGTCTCGTTATACTCATCAAACTTCAAATTGCACACCATTACTCACTAAACTTTATACATTTGTACTCCATTACACGCTAGCTAACTTTCGTTTCTAACTTGTGCCTATGTGAATGATGGAATGCATACGTGGCTGTTAACTCTCTCTAACATAAAAAATCAAATGTCAGCTCATTTAAAGTGCAATTTCCAAACAAGCCTTAGACCATTGAATTGAAATGTGAGCCCTCTCCTTTCCAAAACCATCCTCAAATAGTGTCCAGATCCTTGAATGAACCATAGGCCCCAAATCGATTTTGCCCCACAATCGAAGGAGAAAATCATTTGTTAGAGGTAATGGAGCTTCATTGAGCTAACCATATGAAGAAGAAAAAACTTTTCAGTTTATGCTCACCACCGGTGTCGAGCTACAGTTTGAAATTGATTGTATGAATAATGAACCATGAGCTTTCACTCCTAACACAGAAGTGGCGACTGAGCAAATCGATCTTCAAAGCATGGAAGATGAATTCACAACAACAAATGACAATGATGGTTCGAGTTTGAGTACTTTTAAAATTGATTTCGTCAAAGTGTCTAATTTTTATTTTGACTTTTCAACTTCTTCATATTTCCATAATGGCCTATTTGATGGAAATAGAAAAAAACGCCCCTAATTATATAAAACAATTATAAAATATTGTTTTGTTTAAAAGACAATACTACTCTTTAGTTAACAAATAAAAACCAAACACTCCCGACCTAAAATTTTAAAATCAACTAACTTTTGTTATTTATTTATTACAACACAGATAAATATGCTCTCATCTTTCATCTTCTTCAACCTTAAAATCTGAAAAATTTATTAAACGCTGAATCCCGATTTTTTTTTATATCAATCATTTCGAATTGGTAAGTATATTTACGTATGTTTAATTTCGTTTTCGTTAAATTAATATACATTTAATCATTAAATTTATTTTGACATAGATAGTTAATGTAGATAATTTTTTTTAACATATGTATGATTTTTTAAAACATGAACAAGGAAAAAAATTAATCCGCGTCTTTCAGATGAAATTGATTTGATGAAAAACAGCCAGACGACTATTTAAACAACCAGTCGGCTGTTGAACTGGCTGTTGAATCTAGATGTTCGGCTGTTTCACCTATTTTTTTAAAGTCGAATTTTTGACTATATATTTTCTTTAAAAAAATTCTTTTTCATCTTGGAGATATGATTGTAATGCTAGTTTGTTTGTTTGGTGACTTCGAATTGGATGAGAAAAATCAATTGATATGGATATGGACAAGCGATAACGTGGTAGTATTCCATTTTCTATAACGGAGAGTACAACATATGCGGGAATGTACCATGATTTACAAAACAAGTTGAATCGATCCCTCTCAGTACAATATCAAACTGAAATTTCGATTCAAGGATAATTTATTTATTCTGATTCCACCTATGAAAGTTACTTGTGATTCAATTAAGATTTCGATTCAATGATATATTTATTTTACACCGATACTAATAAAAAATTAAATGAATTACGGACAAAAATGAAACAAAATAGTTTCTATAAAGTTTTTTAAATTAAAATTGAAATAAGTCAAATTAAAAATAAATATTGCTTAATTAAAATAAACGAAAAATAAAAAAAGAATATTTAATTTTAGTAATTATCAATTTCAAATTCTTTTGTTTAAATTAAACGAATATATATAATTTAAACAAAACGAAATTATTAAAATTAAATAAAGAATATAAATATTATTTAATTAAATTTGAAAAAATTAGCAATTTGTTTACAATGAATATTTAATTGAAGAATTTTAAATTAAAAAATTAAAAGGAAAAAAAAAAGAATTTGCTAATTCGTTAAAAAATAATATTTCATTTTAGTAATTATCAATTTCAAATTCTTTATTTAATTATATATATAAAAAATTCAAACAAAAATAAATTATTAAAATTAAATAAAGAATATAAATATTATTGAATTAAATTAACGAAAAAAATTAACTATAAAAAAATTAAATAAAGAAAAAAAATATTATTTATTATTGGAAAATTAAATTATTAATAAAGGTTAAAAAAAGGCCGGGCGGACTATTAACAGTCGTCAAGGGTAGTTTTGAGTTTTTGTTTGTAACTGTTATGTTTTAACTTTTTTTTTTAATTGTATTAATGAGTCAAAGGTCATTGTGGAAATATATTCCAGTCAACAAGTCATTTCCTCTCCAGGCCACTTAAGAAGCCAAGGCAGTGGAATATGCTGGGGATGTGATTTAACTATAATGTAAAAAGCATGGTTGCTGCTATTAATGTATAATCTTGTGGCCTTTATTTGTACTAACATGGCTTCTTTTTTGCTACATTAACTGAAAATAAAAGAAGACGACTTAAGAGATTTGAGGAACTATAAGGAGAAACTGAAAAAAGGAAAAATTGATCTATAATCGAGTAACAAAGCTTTTTCTAGCAGATTAGAGAATGCAAGTCAGAGATAAAGAATATTGAAGTAAACTCGTTGAACTTCTGAAAAAACAGGAAGTGACGAATGGTGCAGCATATAGAAGAATATTCATTACTCATACAATGTTCATTACTCGATTAACCGCATCTTGATTCACGTTTGTAGCTATCACCACTGGACATTCATCTTGTACGGAGTTTTCTTGGCCATACGTTTAAAAAATTTTGAGTTTACTTGTAAAATTTATAAAATTATTTTATTGGGATAACGTATGTTTGAAAAATGAATTTAGAAAAAAAAAATTTAATTTTTAGATAATGAGACTTAAACATAGCCTTAATTGAGATACATGTAAAAACTATTATATTAATTTGCTAAATTCCTGCAAGAGGTATATTCTTAATACATACTCGAATTTGCGTTTGAACTCCTTTTGGCTCCTTAAGACAGTTGTCATGGCTCTCACCATCTCATTCTACTCACCATCTCACTACTCAGCCACGTAGTGCATTCTAGAATATTCTGTAGAATTATGCTACACAAACAGACTCAATGACAGACTCAAAAACATAAGGGACACGTGTCCATACATGATTGGATAGTTTGAAAAAAAAAAAAACAAAAAAGAAATCCACACACACACTGCCAAGTCGGTCAGTCTGTACTTTATCTGTTTTATAGTATGTTCAAGTGGCTTTATGCTATTCTGTATGTTGAAAACGAAGATGATATTGAATATCTCTGATACCAATGTTGAAAAAAAATACGAGATCATAAACACATTATGAAATAAGGATCACAAAAATAAAAGTACAATGTAATTTGCAGAGAAATGAGGTTTTATTATAATATGGAAAAAGAATACGAATATTTTGTGTTTATGACTGTTTAACTTAATTTAAAATACAATTAAGACCTAAATATATAGGGGACGTTCAAAATCCTAAAATAGAGTTATAGATGGGCATGGGTCGAATAACCACATCGCTCGAGTGGCAGCTTTGCCGCTTGAGGGTTAGGTGGGCACCAGATGAGCGCCAAGTCTCGGCTGAAATTCTAACGACGTTGCTTAAACATCAAG